TATATATATATATATACACACACATATATGCGGAATTTAAGTACAAGAAGCCGGTTGCGCGTGGAACGGAGTTGCTTTATATGTGTATTAAATGTTCTTTCTAGTCCTTCTTACAGAAATAAATGATGCTATTTAGGTTAATCCCGAACTCGTTCTTGAGACTGGTTTGGATGCATTAAATGTGATGATCTTGGAACAGCTAGCTTATGGGTCCCACAAGTAATGATGAAAGTGCGGGCGGCTGATTGTCAGGAATCCTATCAGTGTTTTATCCCCCGGCCTATTCTCGGCCTCCACATGGAAATCGGTCCTCGTCCCATCGGAGATGTCGATTCTCCTTCCGGTTCCCGCCATGTTCTTTCAAGTCGGGTTCTCATTCTAATCTTTTGCACACAGTTGGGTCAGCGATTAATCCTCCACGTGGCTTCTTCTCACTGGGCTAACCATGTCGGTTGTCAACAATATCAATTTTAATTCATTATTCATTCACTCACATAATTTTAATTGATCATCACTTCACACCTTTTATCTCCTATTTTTACATCAAATCAACTTTTACTGTATTATTTTTTAAATTTTTGTAATATAAATTCAAAATTCTAGTAACAACTAACCATACTAATTTTTCCTAAATTAACTCTGATTTACAATAAAAACTCGTTTGAAGCAAATATATTTGTAAATGAACTCTGTTTTACAATAAAAACTCGTTTGAAGCAGATATATTTGTATACAAGCACGCCTAGGGGTGTGCATAATTCGACTAAATTGACCGAACCGACCGAAACCGACCGAAACGACAAGTTCGGTTCGGTTTTTGTTTGACTCGGTCGGTGTTCAGTTTTAACCATTTAACTGTTCGGTTATTCCGGTCGGTTTCGGTTTCAGAATTCAAATATCCGAAATAACCGAACCGACCGAAATAATATATATATATATATTTATATATACTGTAAATATTAATTATTATAATACAATTTTCTAACCCTAATTCTATACAGCTCAGTCGATTTTTTTTTTCATTCTCTCCCCACAGACGCGGTGCTCCTCGACTCTTCCACAAATCCTCCGCCCAAAAATTTTTCAGCCGCCGACCTAATTCTCAGTCACCGGCGCGCCGTCCCTGCTCCACCGCCAGTTCGCCCTAAATCGACCGAATCAAATCATCCCCCAATTTCTTCGGCTCAAGCAAAATAGCCGCTGCTACTCCGCCGCTTGGCCCGCCTCTCATCCGCCGCTGCTCCTCAAGCCGCTGCTCCTCTACCGCTGCTCCTCAAGCCGCTGCTCCTCCTCCCCTGATTATCACAGTATAATTCAGGTATGCATTTTGGATCTATTCTAACTCTAAGTCTCTAATCATGCACATGTGTTGTTCATTTTTATTTGAATAAAAAATTGATAAAATGGGTGGTTATTTAATTAATAAATGTTTAATTGTTCATTCTGCTGAGATGCAAAATGGGAGTTCATTTTCCTTCTAAATAATCTGAAATCATATTTATAGGTTATTGATTACGGGAATTAGTATTGTATGCTGTTGAGTTATAGAGTATTGAAATGAGTTAGTACTAAGCTCCATTGAAATTCTTCACTATCTGTTTTTCTGGTAATTACTGGTTGGGGGGCTTTCTTGTTTTTTATTTCAGCTTTTTATTTGTCAGGTAATTACTGGTTAGGGCCTGGGGGGCTTTCCTTCCAAATTGTTTTTTTATTTCAACTTTTTTTTACCTAAATTTCATAAATATACTGGAAGGTCTCTATCTGGATGAGGTCACTAGTAAATTTTTTATCCTAATTTTAATGCACATTGGCTGTTTTCGGTTTCTTTTGATTTGCTTTTATAAATGTACTTACTTTTTTCTAACTCTTATTGTAGATGTCAAGCCAAGAGGAAATGGACGGAAGCAACGGACCGGTGGATAATGCCTCAAATGAGACACCGACCCAACCAACTGAAGATACATCAGAAGTTAAAGGAGGCGCCCGACAACGTAAAATGCAGTCAAGATCTAAGACATGGACTCATTTTACCAGGATTCTTGACAAAAATGAAAATGTGATTGGAGCTAAATGCAATCATTGCAAAAAGGAATATGCTTGCCATACAAAACGAAATGGTACCTCATCACTTCTTGCTCATATGACTAGTTGCATGAAAAACTCTGAAAACGTTGATGTGAACCAGTCATTACTAAATGTGCAACCTGGGAAAGATGGTGTTGTTGGGTCGAGTTCGATAACTGCTTGGAAATATAATTATGGTGAGATTCGAAAATCTCTTGCATATATGATATGTTCTGATGAGTTGATTTTTTAAATTTATGGAAAGCCGAGGGTTTAAAATGTTTATGAGCAAAGCATTTCCTAAGTTTAACATTCCTTCTCGAACCACTATTACAAGGGATTGCTTTGATATGTTTGTTAAAGAGAGGTCAAAGTTGAAATCTTTTTTGAAAAGTAACTGTCAAAGGGTTAGTCTTACCACTAATACTTGGATGTCCCTGCAAAAAAATTAATTATATGTGCATTACCGGTCACTTCATTGATAATGATTGGAATTTACACAAAAAAAATTTGAGTTTTGTTCCCGTTACGAGCCACAAGGGTGATTATATTGCCAAGTCACTTGAAACTTGTATTCTTGATTGGGGGCTAAAAAATGACTTTACGATAACGATGGATAATGCAAGCTCAAATGATACGGCATTGGCATTTTTGAAGAATAGAATGATGAATTGGGGGGATACCATTGCAAATTGCCAATACATTCACATGAGGTGCATTGCTCATATTATTAATTTGATTGTTAGTGAGGGCCTTAAAGATGTAAAACCATCAGTGAAGCGGGTGAGGGCAGCTATTAGATACATAATAAGTTCTCCCGCTAGACTTTGAAAATTTAAAGAGTGTGTGGAATGGGAGGGTATAGAGTCCAAAAAATCATTATGTCTTGATGTCAAAACGAGGTGGAATTCGACTTATTTGATGCTAAGTACGGCAGAAAAATTTGAGAGAGCATTTAATAAGTATGAAAGAGAAGAAAGTTCTTTTGTGAGGGATTTGGGAGATGATTTAGTTCCTACTTCTTATGATTGGTCTTGTGCTCGCAAAATTTCCAAATTGTTGGAGTACTTTTATGATGCTACCTTCCGGAATTCGGGCTCTTTGTATGTCACTTCGAATACCTTTTTTAGTGAGATTAGCGACTTGTGTTGCCTTTTGGATGATTGGAGAAAGAGCGATGACCTTTTGAAAAAGGACTTGTGTTGTGTATATTTTTAACCGGAGTAGAACCCAAAGATTCGACACCGGGTCGTGTCACAAGGAAGGTTAGCCGGATTATTTTGCACGGTTATTCAACACACGAAAATAAGAAATAAGTCCTAAACATTCTATTCAAATTTGGGGTTTTTGATTATCAACTACGAATAATAAGAACAAGCTAACAATCTCAAACTTGCAATTTAAAGTTTAAACTCAAATAATGATAAAGGGGCTAGGGTATCGGGGATATCGCTTCCGGTTCTCAAAACAATTTACGAACAATCAACTACTCAACCAAAGGACTCAAGAATTAACTCATCTAGAGGTTCAATCTCAATATCTCACGAAACAAGAGAATAAACGTAAACAAATCAATCACGAATCAATTAGCATATAGACAATACGTCACCGAACAAGTCTATTCTTAACGAGCCTAGGTCGAACGATTTCTCCCCTTTCGGTTTCAAAATCGATTAATTAGATTGAGATGGTGATCAAACATCTAAACCCTAGGTTAAGCACAACTCGAAAAGATAGAGCAATTAATCAACACATAAACGAAATTGAACCGGAACGATTATCCCCTAACCCTAGCTATTGGAATTAGCTACTCATTGCAATCTCAACACCAACATCCATAATCAAACCAAACATCATATTCATAATCAAAATGAAAAGAGATGCTTACGATTAATAACAAATCCAATGTCAAGAGAAAGCAACGAACAACCGAAATCCAAGCGAATATTGGAGTTTTTATGCTCCAAGATCAAATCCAAGATCAAAACCAGTAAAAAGTATGTTTTTGGGATGAGAAACTATGAAAAACCAGGTCTGGGAATGTTTAAAAGTGAAGGAAACGCGATCCCTTAACCCTCCAATTCGAAATTCCGAGAAAATAGCCGCTGTTACAAAACAGGGCATAGCGGCGCTATGGGGAAACCGCCGCTATGGCTGGAATGCCCAGAGCTGCAGCCCATCGTTATACGCAAACCGCCGCTACCTCAACAAGCCATAGCGGCGCTATGGCCTGGACTGCTCTGCGCGTCGTCTTTGTTTTTGCTCGTACGGGCTCGTTCGGACTCGGAATTGAGTTCCGTTTTTTCCTACGCGTCGCTAACGAGCCCCTCTTTCTAATGGTGTCAGCTTCCCCAATAGATTCTCGAAAACCTGTTCCTCCGGGGTCTCCGAACTACGCACCAAAAACGAAAAGAGAACAGAAAAAGACCAGAAAACAAACGGAAAACACTAAAACACTCAAATGAATACAAAACATAAAATAAACGACAAAAAGATCCTAAAACTACCTAAACGACTCAATATGGGGGAAAAAGAACGGTAAAATAATGACCTAAAATGGCACAAAAATGGGACAAACAACTTGGGTGAATTAATGAAAACAAAATTTCTTAAATATTGGGGAGATCCGGGAAGCATGAATAAAATTATCTTTTGGGCAAGCATTTTTTATCCGAGAGAAAAAATGGATTACATGGCTTACACTTTGAATGAGATGTATGGGGTTGAAAAGGGAGAAAAAATTCTTGAGGAAGTGAAGCATGATCTTTTTGAATTATTCAATGAGTATAAAAAGAAGTATGAACCGGAAAATGATGCAAGTGCTAGCATTGGAATTCAAACAACTTCAAGTTCCGACCATGGAAGTACCAAGCCCAAATCACTTTTAAAAGCTAAGTACAAGAAGCAAAAGTTAGCGAGCAGGGGTTATGCAAACAAAAAATCCGAACTTGAAACTTACTTGATTGAGGATGTGCTAGAGGGAAAAGAAGATCTTGATGTTCTAAAGTGGTGGAAATCAAATTCCGAACGTTTTCGGGTTCTTTCAAGAATGGTTCGAGATATGTTGGGCGTTCCAATATCAACCGTTGCATCGGAGTCGGCCTTTAGCACCGGTGGGCGAGTGCTCGACAAATTTAGGAGTTCTTTAACTCCTAAAATTGTTGAAGCATTGATATGCACACAAGATTGGCTCTGAAATGAATGCAAAGGGATATGTGTTGAAGAGTCAATAGATGATCTTGAAATGCTTGAAAAAAGTATTGTTGATGTGCAAATACTTTTTATTTTATTTTTTTAATAGCAATCCTAATTTTAATTTGTTTCTTTTTCAGATTTGCCTCCCGTGGGGATTGGACAAATATTGTGAATTACACTTGTGAAATTTGAGAGGTAACCACTAACTACTATTAATTATTTTCAATTGTTCTAAAATTTGTTTGTATAAGATATTTTCACTTGTTGTATTTTGTGCTTTTTTTGGGCTATATTTTTCTCTTTTTAGGTTCATTTGAGGGGTGTCTTTGAAGGTGTATAATGCTGATTTGTTGTTGTTTTGTACTGTTTCGGAGGCCTTTTCGAGGATGTTTTGGGATTGTTTTGGAGACCTTTTTCCGGCTGTTTAGGAAGACTGTTTTAGAGGCTTTTTTGAGGATGTTTTATGGCATTTTGATTGCTTCTCAGATTTTTGTGGCCCTTTATTACTATTGGTGTTTTATTGTTGGGATTTTATATTGGTGCTATTTTATTGTTGTTTTATGGGATGTTTGAATTGATGAATTCATGTGGACTTTGGCCTTGTTTGGTAATCAGCGGTTAGCTGTTAGCAGATTGCATTAGCTGCTTTGGCCAGCGGATTGTATTTGCTGTTTTGACCAGCTGATTATGTTAGCGGTTTGTAAAAGATTGTTTGGTAAAATTAGTTATTTTAATCAGCTGTTAACATGTAAAATTACTAATAAGGACATATGTTAAATTATAATTAATTAAGAAATAAAAATAAATAATACTTAAAATAATTATTAAAGTGATTTAAAATACAATAAAAATATAAATAATAATAAAAATATTTCTTAATCGAGTAAACAAGTTCACGTTATATAAACACAAACGTGTAATTATTACAAAAAATGCATTTATTCTAATTAAATATAAATATTAGTTCAACCAAAAAGAGTCAAAATTATTGATTATAACAACATGTACTTAATCTTTTCACGTATTAAATTTTATTGTTATGCCAATTATATGAGCAAGAAATATCAAATTAAAACTTAAAAAAAGTATGCAATGAGAATAAAAAAAATTAGTAAACAAATTAAAAACATGAGACAAAAAAAAAAAAATAAAAAAAATAAAAATAAAAATAAAGGACGAGTATTATAGAGGTGCCTGCTAATAATTATTTTGCAAAGTGGAGATAGTTAAGCAAAAGCTAAAAGCAAAACGCTACTAATATGAGCGTTTCAAAATTTGGCGTTTTCAGCCATCCGCTAGTTTCAAAAGCTGGCTTACCAAACATCAAGAAAGCCAATTTTAGCTTTTTCCAATCTGGTCAAAACCGCTAAAACAGCTTTTTGGCTAAAAAGCTGAAAAACAAACGGGGCCTTTATGTTTTTTTCTAGACTTTGTTTGGGTTGTTATTTTCAGGTTTTTTAGTTTGGACTTGGACTTGTTTAATTTATTATTTTTAGGTTTTTTAGTTTGGACTTGGACTTGTTTAATTTGAATATGTTTTAGGTTGAATTTTTGTTGCATGGACAATTGTGTTTGGGCCCAATGAAAAGACCCATTTGTTTGGGCCAAGTGACAATCTATAAAAAAAATATTTTTCGCAAAAATTCGGTTAACCGACCGAACCGGCCGAACTATTCGGTTCGGTTTTAGTTCGGTTTTAACAACCTAATTCGGTCGGTTCGGTTTTTAAAAAATATCAATTCGGTTTTTATGGTTCAGTTCGGTCGATGAACACCCCTAAGCACGCCCACCTTTTTTAAAACATTTAGAAAACAATGGAAGAATGGAAGTAAAGATGACTGTGATGAATGTATTGGAAACAAACTGGAACTAGCTAACTAGCGAGCTAGCTAGCTAATAGACACAAGGAAAAAAAAAAATCCTTTTTTTTTCACAATTCCACCGAAATTTTCTTTTCTGCAGGGGACCATCAGCATGCCCCTAATGGCGCCCCACACAAGCACCTATTGTGAAAATAGGAAGTGGAATCCAAC